ATGACAGTCCTTTACCATTCCACTGCTGGAAAAAAGCTTACTTATATCATTAAGGTTTTACTCATGCCAATGTTAGTGCACCGTATGCTTGTTACAGGTTCCATACCTCAATGCAAGCGGACAACTACTGCAATATAATTTGTTTTCCTGCATAAAGTGCTGCAGCCTCACGAGGTGATGTTCCTTTGAACAATCCTGGTTGATCACATGGGCTGGGATTTTAACTAATGCTGCTCAACCAATTGATCAATATTCCAGTCACGAACCTGTGGGTGCAGTTAAAAACGTTTGATTATTGTATGTAATGTTGTATTAATACTACGACAGCAAATTGGAGGCAAATATTGTGCATTACGTAGATTATGTCCAACTCCCACACCGACTGGTCGATGCACCAATCTGTATGGAACCTTTGACCCCTCTCTGCTCGTATGCATGGATGGTGACCGGGTAGTTTGGCTTCTTCCCACATTAAAAGAAAACACCCCTTAAAAAAATAATTGACCAAACATCTCAATGCATGGCAATCCTGAAAATGGGTCTCGAGACTCCGTGAGGATTTACATTTCCGTACATTGCCTCTGTTGACACAGCAGCCACAATGACTTTGCATCGAGCATATCGTCAAATGCACTCACGGAAATGTTGGCATTGGTTTGACATCCTACAATGTACAACCAGATACATGTTTAATATAGGAGATCAGAAAGCTCCCACTTGCAATGTCCTCAACGCTATGTGCTGGTTACAACTCTGATAAATACACATATGAAGCAATTTACTGCACACACTTCACTGTATACATTAGAATACAATATAAACGTCAGTAGGAACTTGGTTGGTAAAGCAACTGGGCTCTCAGTGGCATGATGGTATATTCAAATCCTGGTCAAGTATGACTTTGCTAATCATTATCATTCGTCTGGTTTTGGTAGAATGAGCGCTACCTGGTAAGGCTGCACCATTAAGTGAGAATTCAATGGTTGGGTAGACTGTACTGTGGTAAAGGAATGTGGAATGTTCCCCAGAAGATGACTAAATAAAAAAGCTAAAGTTTATCATAAAATGAGCCTGGGGAGGCAATCACATCATGTTTAGTCCTGAGCCACTGGTAAGAATTCCAAATTCCCATCGCAGGAGCATGTTAACCCAGGTAATAATGACAGATTTCCAACTAAAATTCAACTAAATTTCTGAATCCCCGAGAGACAAGTTGAGCTGACTCCCAAACCAAGAGTTTATCTCACAACCTCCTTTCGACCATGCCACCTGGCCAGACACTGGCTTTGGGGTACTAATATACATTATTCCATATGCACATTGCCCATATTCCAAGTACTACATATACAAATGGTATGAACAATATGCTAAATACCACATGCCATAATGATTATAATCGAAATTTAAAGTTTGTAATTATAGACAATAAGCATGATCTGTATGCAAAGTAGTATATTTATCATACACTCAGCATAATGCTAGAGGTATGCAGACAACCTTTCATGACATTCACTGGGGCAATGTAGCTCTCCTGCCAAGCACTCGGATAATAGGCACACGATGGCTAGCTGCAAACTTGGAAACAATGCTGTGACACTGCATTGTAAACTTTAGCTGGGGCACGGCTTTATCTGTTAAAAGTTATAACAAGAGCCGACGACGTAGAGATTTTGTAGTGAACTGTGAACCCAGTGCTGACAATTCCACGTCACCGCGGTATAACAGTGTACACCTTGTGTTAGCTTGGGCAATGTTGAAAAAACGTTAGATCTTCCCCAGCCCAAATCTTTCTGGGGGTCAAAAAGAAGAGTACCATACCACTTTTTGTGGAAGTCAACAGTGCTACCTTATAGTCTCACCACGTTATCAGAACGTGGAATTTCCACCACTGACACAGGGCTGTAACCATGAGATGAGCACTGGGTAAATGCTCATTTGAGCAAGAAATCATTATTATAACATTTGACATCGAATAAGTCGAGTTATCAACATTTCAAGAGAAGTAATGCATCCCCACAGGCCATCAGATCGCTGAAATAAAGCTTGCGAGACCCTAATACTTGAACAGGACATAGCAGCAGCAGCAGCAACAACCACCCTCTGCTGACACGCCAATTGTGCGGGTCCTTGCTGGCACAATTCCCCAAGAGGGGCTCCCCTACCCTCCCTCAGATCTCCACGGCAGCTGTCAATCTGCTGCAGCTTAACAGCTGCAGTGGTCATCCCCTTGGCTACTTGCACCCATTCGGCACCCCAGAAGGGAGAATCTGGTGGTCAGCCATAGAGAAGACAATACAGCCAAATACACCAGGTGCCCCCTAGCAGAGCCAACACGGTGTATGTACAAGGTCAGCCATAGAAGTCATCACACGTGATGCCAAAAATGCAGTGGTTGGCACTCATTAATTATGCAGGTAAAAGGTGCAGACCTACAGCTGCTAACTCACGCCACTACTAGCAGAAAGGCCTCCACTTTCTAGGTCTCTAGAGACACAGAGAGCACCTCTGTACAGCAAGGCCGTAATTATAATATTCAAATATTCTCAAAATGTCCCCTTCAATATATTGCTATAAAATAGATTTCTGTTGATATGATTGTGGTTATGGTTGTACTTTATTAATCCCTAATCTTTGCCATTACATACAATGCAACAAGAAAAGGTAAAAAAAGAAAAAACAGAGCAATGTAATACAATACACTATTAGACATTATTGTAAAAAATAAATAAAAAGTCAATCCCATGCGTTAGTGAATTTTTTAATATTTTAGGCAGGAAATGGCAGGAAATTAGTTTTCAAATTTAGATTTTCTTTTCTGGGGAGAGGATCCTCAGACCCCCTGGAAGATTTGGTCCCCCCCAATGTTGACTCCATGGCTATGGCCTTGCTGTACAATATAGGGCATTTGGTCTACTCTTCCACACTGGCCATACGTCTTCGAGTAAGTGGGAGTACTCAGTCTACTCCACAAAACGCCACGGCGGGAGATCTATATAATCAACACAAACTCTGGATAGCAAGTCCAATGTGCCAACCATTACGCAGAATTGTACAGATAGACACGCCGAATCTTGCTTGTCCTGAGTAGTCTCTGGTTAAATCCATAAACACATACATTTGTCCTTCAGCTCAGATAATTCATATTTAGGTTCTATTGATAACAAAACAATTGCATGCTTGTATTCAAGCATATATACTTTCCCAGATATATCTTGCAAAAGAGGAAATGACTTAATGGATTTTTCCTTGGCCAATGGAAGTATTAATAAACACTGCACACGTGTATACACCACACTACACGCAGCATTTATGTAACCCATTATATTTTGTTTCCAGTATTTTACAATGTATGTTGAACTTCTTTCGCACCGTACGTAGTAACCAAACGTGCTAAATACAGTACAGCACTGTAATCACATTGCAAACAAACCTGCACTAGAATACATACATTCTGGCAATTGGACATTTGCGAAGCCCCCTAATGAACTTTCGACTTTCAAGTAAAAACTGCGTTCACATCCATTCTGGCTCTCAAAATAAATGCTAAACTGGGGTGTCCATTTGAAGAACCGACACGGACGGTGCCCAGAGCGGGATTGTAACCTCCTGCGGGTGCGTGCGTTACCGATTGGGGGGCCATTGCGTGTGTTACCTATGGGGGGGGGCATTGCGTGCGTTACCTATTGGGGGGCCATTGCGTGAGTTATCTATTGGGGGGGCATTGCGTGAGTTATCTATTGGGGGGGCATTGCGTGAGTTACCTATTGGGGGGGGGCATTGTTCGCCTTACCTACTGGGGGGGGGGCATTGTTCGCGTTACCTATTGGGGAGGCCATTGCGTGCGTTACCTATTGGGGGGGGGGCATTGCGTGCGTTACCTATTGGGGGGCATTGCGTGCGTTACCTACTGGGGGGGGCATTGCGTGCGTTACCTATTGGGGGGGGCATTGCGTGCGTTACCTATTGGGGGGCATTGCGTGCGTTACCTACTGGGGGGGGGCATTGCGTGCGTTACCTATTGGGGGGGCATTGCGTGCGTTACCTAAGGGGGGGGGCATTGCGTGCGTTACCTATTGGGGGGGCATTGCGTGCGTTACCTAAGGGGGGGGCATTGCGTGCGTTACCTACTGGGGGGGGCATTGCGTGCGTTACCTATTTGGGGGGGGCATTGTTCGCGTTACCTATTGGGGGCATTGCGTGCGTTACCTATTTGGGGGGGGCATTGTTCGCGTTACCTACTGGGGGGGGGGGGGCATTGCGTGCGTCACCTATTGGGGGGGGCATTGCGTGCGTTACCTATTGGGGGGCATTGTTCGCGTTACCTATTGGGGGGCATTGTTCGCCTGCACGGCCACCACCACCCGCTCGACCCCCTCCCGCCGTCCCCAGGACACGCCTAAGCAGCAGATGATGATGATGTTGTCCATTTGCTAGACGTTACAGCTACTTTGTAGCAATATTGTAACCAATCAATGTGTTTTATTAATACACATCCCACGGAATTCCATGACTAAGTTAGGAACATTTGCTACAGAGAGTCGCTTTAGCGTGTTGCAAAGTTATTTCTCAAGATCCTCATTGAAGAGACTTTAAAAAATAATCCAGCTATTAACGTTAATACAATACATATTTTTTAAAAATATTAACTATCAATTTAGTTTTTTTAAGTTGTACTGGAAGCCGTTGAGTTTCAAGCAAAATGTCTCGCATTTTGTTCGCACAATCTGCAAGGATTTTTGTTCAATCCTCTAAAAAGGGCTCCAAGACGGCTTTAAACATTCCCAGGAATCTGCCAACACGGCGAGTACTTTCGATGTATTCAAGACAAGCTCCACTCCAGCTATAACAAGTGCTAGTTTGTGATTAACAACAACCACCACACAGCTTGCAAAGCAGCGTTAAGAGACAGCAAAGAAGGGCATCATCATCATCAGCAGCAGCTAAAAACTTAGCGCCAACAGGGCAGAAACACACACACAGACACAGTGACAAAGCCTTACCTCTCAATTACCTCCTGTGCAGTTGTAGTCGTGGTTGTAGCACACCTCGAATCCCACTCTTTGTCTTAAGCTGAAGCGGTGATGTAAGTAGTGATGCTGATGGTGTTAAGGATCGAGAGTGTGTGGTGTGTTGGTGGTAGTGGTAGTGGGGGAGGGAAAGAGAGAAATGGCCAGTGGCTGAGACTGCGTGCAAAGAGGGCCCAAGTGTGTGGGGGGTGGTGGTTGTGTGGGTGGCTTTGGGAGGAGTTTCAGATGTCTCCGAGTCGGTGGGACTGTGGGGAGAGAGGAGGGTTTGCAAAGCTTTGGCGAACCACCTCCCTCCACATCCCTCCATCATCATTACGCACGCCCACTGATTGCATCGCATGAAGCTGTTAAAGCAGCCAGTTGAGTCATGCCCGTCGGTCCGTGAAAAAAAGAAAAATACACGGTCCCCACAATCCCATCTAATCCGCAAGTTAAATACAGTACTTCTTGCATGGGTTTAGAGGTTAATGGACGTATTTATTCCCACTGAAACGTGGATCATTCACAAGGGAGGGGAGGGAAAAGGGCACAATTGCAGTGAAGATGAATGAGAAAATCGTACTGCAGGGAAAAAAAACTACAGTTCACGAAGTTTGTGTCGTAAAAATGAATACTACAGGAAATGTATGTTTATTTTAGTTAATCCTTACACATCTGTCGCCCTTTGTTTCTGTTTCAATCGAGCTATATATGTGAACAGCGGTCTTCCTATGAAAACAAGAGACTCCGGCCATCGTAATGTGGAATTTCCACCACTTGCTCAGAGCTAATGTAGAACTAGTGTGCTTAATTGTTCAAAACTTGCTACTATACCTACTGGGAATCGGGTGCTCTCCCAGCTAGAATATAGTGAGCTACTCAGGTTTATATGTAAGGCTTAAATTTTCATTCGGTATTTTCCAGGAATTGTCAGCATAAGGCACTACCACTAGAATTCCTGCAAGAATTCTGAGCACAAAAATTAAACGATATGGATGTGAAATACTAAAATAATTCCCACAACATAGCTTTAGACTGTTCTGCCTGAAATTAAACACCGATTAATTATATGAACTGCAAATGTGGGATCTTATCTTAAGGGCCAAAGATACTGGAGATACTTTATGTACGAAACGCTTTGTTCACAAACAAACCTTGCAAAAACAAGTAATCCAAAGGTTTAAACAAACAAACCGTGACACATCCCGCACAAAATAATTTTAAAGTTGAAACTACCAATATCTGTCTCGGATTTTTGTAACGTTTCGATTCAATGTAAATAACATTCAGCACTTTCAAAACTTCTGTATTGGTTGCACACATTATCAGCCTCTGAAACATTCACATTCCAGGATTGCAAATGTGTTATCATGAACGCGTCGGTTAAAATTCTTTCGATGTAGTCATCACCAAATGACTAAACTTTGCACTCGGCACAGACGCAGAGATATGCATGACGTGCTGTGTGGTTTGAGGGGCAGCGTGGCTAAATCCAGCCTTAAGAATGCGCTCATTCAAAGCCACGCCCACACGCGGCACACGAAAAAGCCAAAGAGCCAATGTGCGAACGGGTGACATCAGCTGTTTGAGAACGCGAGCCATGTAAGGGCATGCTGAGGTATGGGGCGTGGTCACGAGGAAGCAGGGTTTATCACAGGCCGATGTCATTGCCACACCTTGCAGGTAACATAGGTGCATAGCTTGGTCGATTTTTTCAGTTTCGTCGCTTAGCCGACATTTGCTTTCTTCCTTACTGCTAAAACCCTATTTGACCTCGTTTCTGTCCAGTCTCGTGAATGTCACATCACAAAGGAATCGTTCAACACTATCAAGCTTTAGCATATTCTGTGAGAACAGGTTTCACATTTCTGAGTATTTGGCTGCTATAAATGTCCACGTGATAAGCCACTTCGTTGAGCTATCATGTGACCAGGTCGCTTCTGAAAAAGAGCAATATAGCTCAGTGGGCCTTACCTGGTAAAATAAACATAGTTTATTAAACATAGTTTATTTTCAAATATTGAAATATTGCCGAATATTTCTCCGATACGAAGCGTTTTAATGTACTCTCTGGGATTGGCAGGGTAGAAAGAGCACTACTACTGTATGTGCTTTTAAAAAATGCCAATAAACCCTATTCACTCAGGGGTCTCACTGAATCTCAATATGGATGTTCAATTTGATTCTTTGGTGGACTCCGTTTTTTTAGAATTCTTACATTTGGCCAGAAACTAGAGCAACCAGGAAAATATCACATTAGAAATGTAGCGGCATTGTTGAGCGCAAAGAACGCTCATTGTTAGCAATATCCTTGCTGTGCTACCCTCTAAAGGTATCTTGGTGCACTGCATGTGGGTGACTCAGCCACCAAAGAATGTAAGATGTGGCAGATGTGGATTCGGTAAAAACAAGCTGTCTTTTATCAATACCACAATGCATTGTGTGCCAAACTTAGAAAATGTTTGTCTAATCCATTGACTTTTGATGTGTTCATAAACCGTGCAAAAATGCACTGAAACGCCCACACGTGAAAGGCGCTTCATAACTTTTTTGTACTTTTAGCACTTTTCAGGCACCTGCCTAGTGATAAAAATCATCATATAAAGTAGTACAGCAAGTAGGTTTCTAACAAGTTGTGTAATTGAGTTCAGTGCTCCATCATAAGAATCAAATGGGGCGCACAAAGTATATGCTATTTTATATCTATGAGGATGCTATGGGCACTTGGAATTATTACATGGAAACAAATGACAAAACTTGCCAAAGCAAGATGCTATTGAAAATTAGTCTAGAGACTATAACACATAATACTGGTAGGAACCGCCAGGTTACACCAGCCCACAGGGGATTATTGTGTCCGTCCGTCGTGCAGGGAGGGGCTGGGTGGGGCTGGGTGGGGAAGGGCTGGCTGGGGAGGGTGGGGCTTGGTGGGGAGGGTCTGGTCACCCCGTGGTGCCCTTATATAACTCAACGTTTAACCTACTCACGCCGGCTTGTGCCCGCCCTCAGTCGGGCATATTTGCGGAATACACCACGCTGCCATTGACCATGGCCATTGACCGAGCAACCCAACGTTCCTACCAGCTCCCTCCGCAGGAATGTTACCTAGATGCCTTGTTCAAGCATGGTGGTGTATGCTTGTAAAACAGCAGAGATAGGGTTTGTAGATCACAGAGCACGATGTCCTGCGAATTTCCAATCACGAGGGCTGCAAGTGCGGTAGGTGGGCATATAGCAGTAGGTTTATTAACTAATTTGTGTGGACCTTTTGAGTTATTTTCCTCGTATGATTGAGTTTACACGAGGCACTTCAATGTCCTCCCACACACAACACCAAAGATGCCAATTCAGAACACTCTTGAAAAATCTTGATAAAAGCAGACTGTACACTACCCATATACATCCAAACCAATACAATCAGATGGATAAACAACTGAGGTTTCCTTATTAAATATCAATTTTATTGTACTTATTTCATAATTCCAGTGACATTGAATTGTACTGTTAATGTAATAAGTCATGCATGTACAAAAATGCGTATTTCATTCAGCGCATATGAACTTCATATGGGGGACAGGAGCCCTCATCACCTGTAACCTCCACGAACCACAAACTGCGTCATTGCAGGCTCCTCCACACCTGCATACAGAGAGATGATGAGCAAATAAATAAGAGATGGAAATGCATTAAAGAACGACAATGCCATATTTAAGGATGCAAATTTACAATTCACAACAAGATGATTTTTGTTTATATTCTTTATCACATATATACTAATTTCTACGTGATGTTCATGCATGCTGCTTTGGCTGTCTTGTCCCTGTTCTTGACACAAATGTGTTTGAGTTAACATTGTACAAAAGTATATTGTATGTTGTAGATTTTATTTTTTTGTATGGCATGTCATTGCATGCTTTCCATGTACCAATTGAAACCCTGGACACTCAAGACAAGTTTCATCTCAAGGGATTATCCAGGGAATTTTTTTACAAAAAACAACTTAAGTATGGCACATCTAACATTTAAATGGTTGATAGTAAAGGGGTTGTCCATCACAACACCTGGTACCCAAGTTCATCTGGCATTGCCAATGTTGTAGCCTGTATTGTTATCGTTTATATAATTTTTAAACCATTCAGATGCAATCATTTTAATCCAGTGTCTCCTAGTGTTTAGTGCACGTTTTATTGGATTTGTTGAACTTCTTTTGCACAGTATGTAGCCAACCGTGCTAATCATTGTATTTCATTATTGTATACACATAGATGTTCGTGACAATGACTGATGTAAATTCTAATGATGTTCTAGAAGGGCTAAAAAAATGCAATTTACCACAGATATAGTTGGTTATAACTGAAAAAAACCACAACATTTTCCTATACAGTATAAATGTCATTTGAGCAGCTCTGGCCCCTACCAATTGCAGTTCGTCTCAAAAATACCCTCACCTGTGTCCCCAGCAGTAGCTATGTTTTGTGGGACTCGGCTTGGAGAGGGAGCCCTTTGCAAACCCCTCGAGCCTCCCGGCATGGGCACACCTCGTGATGCATTGACCCCTGCCCCCCGTGACATAAAATGAGCCAACATGCCATACAGCAGGGGGCTGTAATAAAAACACACATACACACACACATACCAAAAGTCACCACCACAACCAGTATTAACACTATAACTAACTTAATATCATGTTGATATATTATGCTAATGATATGTCGAAAAGTTGTAAACAAAAACATACATTTACAAGTTGATAAACTTTTCAAAGCCAAACTGTCTTCATGTTCACAAAAGCTAGGATGATGTGCTCATCTCCACTGATCACTCAGGAATAGTAGTGGAAATTTCTATGGTGGCGGCCAGCCATTCCATAAAAGAACGAAAATTGAAATTTTGAAATATTTTAGGAAATTAACCTACAACAGGATTTGAACCTGGAAGCTTCCATTGAGTCAAGTCCTTTGGAACAGTGCCACTCACCTGGATTTAAAAACAAGTTTATGTTGCTAGAAATACAGTACAAGTTTTTTGCTAAAAGGTATTAAAAGATACAATAAATGTGGATCAACATAAACCACCTAAATACAAGTGTATACAAACATTGTATTAAGTCTTTTATACTCATGCATTGCAATTCATGCCCATATTAATCAATACAGTATCATATTTCAATTTAGATGAGACGCCATTAAGTGTTGATTGTACAAAGAAGACCTGAGATAATGAGAGAGGAAATAGGGAAGCAAAGATCGATGTGCATAATTGTT